TGTAGAGAAATGGTATGAGTTAATGAATTAATCAATATGTCTTCTAGTGATATTGTTATACTAGCAGAGAAGAGGCATGAATTAATCAAAATGTCTTCTAGTGATATTGTTATATCTGTAGAGAAATTGTATGAGTTAATGAATTAATCAAAATGTCTTCTAGTGATATTTTTATACTAGCAGAGAAGTGGCATGAACTAAACAAAATGTCTTCTAGTGGTATTATTATATTTGCAGAGAAGTGGCATGAATTAATAAAATGACTTCTAGTGATATTGTTATATCTGTAGAGAAATGGTATGAGTTAATGAATTAATCAAAATTTCTTCTAGTGATATTGTTATATCTGTAGAGAAATGGTATGAGTTATTGAATTAATCAATATGTCTTCTAGTGATATTGTTATATTTGCAGAGAAGTGGCATGAATTAATCAAAATGTCTTCTAGTGGCATTGTTATATCTGAAAAGAAGTGGAACGGGTTAATGAAGTAATCAAAACGTCTTCTAGTGATATTGTTATATTTGCAGAGAAATAGTATAAGTTAATGAAGTAATCAAAACGTCTTCTCTGATATTGTTTTATTTGCAGAGAAGGTGCATGAATTAATCAAAATGCCTTCTTGTAATATTGTTATATTTGCAGAGAAGTGGCATGAATTAATGAAAATGACATCTAGTGATATTGTTATATCTGTGGAGAAATGGTATGAGTTAACGAATTAATCAAAATGTATTCTAGTGATATTGCTATATTTGCAGAGAAGTGGCATGATCAAAAAATCTTCTAGTGATATTGTTATATCTGTAGAGAAATGGTATGAGTTAATGAATAAATCAAAATGTCTTCTAGTGGTATTATTATATTTGCAGTGAAGTGGCATGAATTAATCAAATGTCTTCTAGTGATATTGTTATATCAGCAGCGAAGTGACATGAATTGATCGAAATGTCTTCTGATATTGTTATATCAGCTGCGAAGTGACATGAAATGATCGAAATGCCTTCTAGTGATATTGTTATATCAGCAGCGAAGTGACATGAATTAAAAAAAAATGCCTTCTAGTGATATTGTTATATTTGCAAAGAAGTGGCACGAATTAATAAATATGACTTCTAGTGACATTGTTATATCTATAGAAAAATTGTATGAGTTAATGAATTAATCAAAATGTCTTCTAGTGATATTTTTATACTAGCAGAGAAGTGGCATGAATTAATCAAAATATCTTCTAGTGATATTGTTATATTTGCAGAGAAGTGGCATGAATTAATCAAAATGTCTTCTAGTGGTATTATTATATTTGCTGAGAAGTGGCATGAATTAATCAGAATGTCTTCTAGTGATATTGTTATATCTGCACAGAAATGACATGAGTTAATGAATGAATCAAAATATCTTCCAGTGATATTGTTATATCTGTAGAGTAATTGTATGAGTTAATGAATTAAAAAAATGTCTTCTAGTGACTTTGTTATATTTGCAGAGAAGTGGCATGAATAATCAAAATGACTTCTAGTGATATTGTTATATTTGCAGAGAAGTGGCATGAATTAATAAAAATGTCTTCTAGTGATATTGTTATATTTGCAGAGAAGTGGCATGAATTAATCAAAATGTCTTCTGATGATATTGTTATATTTGCAGAGAAGTGGCACGTATTAATAAAAACGACTTCTAGTGATTTTGTTATATCTGCACAGAAATGACATGTGTTAATGAATGAATCAGATTATCTTCTAGTGATAATGCTATATTTGCAGAGAAGTGGCATGAATCAATAAAAATGTCTTCTAGTGATATTGTTATATTTGCAGAGAAGTGGCATGATTTAATCAAAATGTCTTCTAGTGATGTTGCTATATTTGCAGAGAAGAGGCATGAATTAATAAAAATGTCTTCTAGTGGTATTATTATATTTGCAGAGAAGTGGCATGAATTAGTAAAAATGACTTCTAGTGATATTGTTATATCTGTAGAGAAATTGTATGAGTTAATGAATTAATCAAAATGTCATCTAGTGATATTGTTATACTAGCAGAGAAGTGGCATGAATTAATCAAAATATCTTCTAGTGATATTGTTATATTTGCTGAGAAGTGGCATGAATTAATCAAAATGTCTTCTAGTGGTATTATTATATTTGCTGAGAAGTGGCATGAATTAATCAAAAATGACTTCTAGTGATATTGTTATATCTGCACAGAAATGACATGAGTTAATGAATGAATCAAAATATCTTCTAGTGATATTGTTATATCTGTAGAGAAATGGTATGAGTTAATGAATTAATCAAAATGTCTTCTAGTGACATTGTTATATCAGTGGAGAAGTGACATGAATTAATCAAAATGTCTTCTAGTGATGTTGTTATATTTGCAGAGAAGTGGCATGATCAAAAAATCTTCTAGTGATATTGTTATATCTGTAGAGAAATGGTATGAGTTTATGAAATAATCAAAATGTCTTCTAGTGATATTGTTATATTTGCAGAGAAGTGGCATGAATTAATAAAAATGTCTTCTAGTGGTATTATTATATTTGCAGTGAAGTGGCATGAATTAATCAAAATGTCTTCTAGTGATATTGTTATATCTCTGGAGTTTTGGTATGAATTAATCAATTAATCAATATGTCTTCCAATGATATTGTTTTATCTGTAGAGAGATGTTGTGAGTTAATGAATTAAAAGTGTCTTCTAGTTATATTGTAATATCGATAGGAAAAGGCGTGAGTTTATGATGTAATCAAAATGTCTTCAGGTGACATTGTTATATCTGAAAAGAAATGGAACGGTTAATGAAGTAATCAAAACGTCTTCTAGCGATATTGTTATATTTGCAGAGATATGGTATGAGTTAATGGAATTAATCAAAATGTCTTTTAGTTTTATTGTTATATTTGCAGAGAAGGGGCATGAATTAATCAAAATGTCTTCAAGTGATATTGTTATATCGATAGAGAAATGGTATGAGTTAATGAAGTAGTCAAAATGTCTTCTAGTGATATTATTATATTTGCAGAGGAAGGGGATGAATTAATCAAAATATCTTCAAGTGATATTGTTATATCGGTAGAGAAATGGTATGAGTTAATGAAGTAGTCAAAATGTCTTCTAGTGATATATTATATTTGCAGAGAAGGGGCATGAATTAATCAAAATATCTTCAAGTGATATTGTTATATCTGATGAGAAATGGTATGAGTTAATGAAGTAATCAAAACGTCTTCTAGTGGTATTATTATATTTGCAGTGAAGTGGCATGAATTAATCAAAATGTCTTCTTGTGATTTTGTTATATTTGCAGAGAAATTGTATGAGTTAATGAAGTTATCAAAACGACTTCTCTGATATTGTTATATTTGCAGAGAAGTGGCATGAATTAATCAAAATGTCTTCTAGTGATATTGCTATATCTCTGGAGAATTGGTATGATTTAATCAATATGTCTTCAAATGATATTGTTTTATCTGTAGAGAGATGGTGTGTGTTAATGAATTAAAAGTGTCTTCTAGTAATATTGTAATATCGATAGGAAAAGGCGTGAAGATAAAAGATAAAAGCTAATATTCTTCTCATACATATTCAATGCTAATATTCAAAAACGACAACAATTGCCATTTTACAACGAATATTATTAGTATTATTTGAGAGAATGTACTGAAAATGAGTGAATGATACTAGCTTTAGTCTTATTTTATAGAATCTGTTTCTGTCCATAAAATCTGTTGTAATTTGTGCTGAAATACCATACAAATAAATTAATTACCCATTAGAGAAGGTTTTTCTGCTATCTAGCTGGTCAAATGTTTATCTAGAGAAGTTAAGATAACAAATCATATGCCTCTATCTTTTTGGCAAAGATGTCTAGAAATTACCCCATCAGTACACTTTGGAATTTCTGATTACGAAAAGAGGATGAAAAATCTGAAAAGAAATATTCCTTCTTTAATAAGAAATATCGTAACATAATCTTACAAAAAATTATAGTTGATAACTTTCGTAAACTTTATTTGAAGGAAACGAGTCATTTCATCGACTATCACAAAGCAAAAGTCCGCAGTGGACAGTGATTATTATACAGGATGGGAAATATGAATGACTACGCATAATAAATAATCTTTATTTCAAATGCTAAAAAAAAGCCACAAAAACCTTTACTAAAGTTTTTTTTTTTTGTATTATCAAATAAGCCAAGAAATTGATTTATTTCAACAAGAAGAAGTTGTTTAACGACCAGAAACAGCACATATACTCAGTTCATATGCGAGCTATTGCAAATTTTTGGTAGTAAAAGAAATGAAGTAGGGAGTAGAAACTGATATTACAGCTTAAAAACATATTCTGCGCAAGGTTAAAATGCGAACACGTCGCCCAGCTAGCGTGAACGCAGAATATACGCAACTCATCACATTGAGTTGCTCCCTTGCGAACAAATTTTTGATTATAGTTTTTTAGAAGCATTTACGATGCACAATTGATGGGCCAGATTCATCATATTCTTGCTTCGAGATCCACATCTGCAAATTTATTTAAAATTAATTCACTGATAGTGATTATATATATATATATATATGGTGATTATATATATATATATGGTAGTGATTATATATATATATATATGTATATATATATATGGTAGTGATTATATATATATATATATATAATCACTACCAATTATTCTCATTTGATAGTACTTTTATTAGCTGAAGCATTAACCTTCTTTCTTTTATTTTTACATTGATTCGAATTTATTCCTAATTTATTACTAAAAAAAGAAAGTGCTAAGAATTAGATGTACCTGTTGGAAGGTGGACAGAGAAGCCAAGATAGAACCACCAATCCATACGGAATATTTGCGTTCTGGTGGTGCAATAATTTTAATTTTCATTGTGCTTGGCGCCAAAGCTGTTACTTCTTTCTGCAATGTTCGCATTAACTAGCTAAATCCTTCCAAAAATAAAAAATTAAGTAAAATAACAATAGCGGGGAGAAATAAAGATCTAAAGAGGATTATTAATTATGCATATCTATTTCTCTCTTTCTTTTGTTTTACATTAACTTGTTCTGAAGAAACATACAATAATAATAATATTAATCTTATAATAATCAACTTACTTGCATTCGATCAGCAATGCCTGGATACATAGTCGTGCCACCGGATAGGACAATATTAGCATACAGATCCTTTCGAATATCAATATCACACTTCATAATACTGTTGTATGTTGATTCATGAATACCAGCAGATTCCATACCCAGGAAAGATGGCTAAAAGAATTTCATTTAGTAAAGAAACACTTAATATTAACTTTCCCCACAAAAAGGTCCAGCTAACCTGAAATAGAGCTTCTGGGCATCGGAATCTTTCGTTGCCAACGGTAATCACTTGACCATCAGGCAATTCATAAGATTTCTCGAGAGATGATGACGATGCAGCAGTTGCCATTTCCTGTTCGAAATCTAAGGCCACGTAGCATAGCTTCTCTTTAATGTCACGCACAATTTCTCGTTCAGCCGTGGTCGTAAACGAGTAACCACGTTCAGTGAGGATCTTCATTAAATAATCTGTCAAGTCCCGTCCAGCGAGGTCCAAACGTAAAATTGCATGTGGCAATGCGTAACCTGAAATAATGAAGATGCAATTAATTTATCCCAAAGTTTGAAAGACTTATCACGAAAATTAAAGTTAATTGATGTAATAAAAAGACATAGTTTGATTCTTCTCATTTAAATGTTCATATTCTGAATCAAATCAGTGATTATTGGAAAGTGTAAAGATTGATTCGATTTAATGGATACCTTCGTAAATTGGTACGGTGTGAGTAACACCATCTCCGGAATCAAGCACAATACCAGTGGTACGACCGGATGCGTACAACGACAGAACAGCTTGGATGGCAACGTACATAGCCGGAGTATTGAATGTCTCGAACATAATTTGGGTCATCTTTTCTCTGTTTGCCTTTGGGTTCAACGGCGCTTCGGTAAGCAGTACTGGATGTTCCTCGGGAGCAACTCGAAGTTCGTTGTAAAAAGTATGATGCCAGATCTTCTCCATGTCATCCCAGTTTGTGACAATGCCATGCTCAATTGGATATTTTAGTGTTAGAATACCTCTCTTCGACTGAGCCTCATCGCCTACATATGAATCCTTTTGACCCATACCGACCATGACACCCTGTAAAACTCTTTTTTATCGATGCGCAAAAGTCGTTTTTAAAATTAATTTATAGTTTTTCGATTGAATATACCTTTGAGAAAGACAATATTTTCTAATTCAATTAGATATAAAAGCAGAACTGAGAAGCTTACTTGATGCCTTGGTCGTCCAACTATTGATGGGAATACAGCTCGAGGTGCATCATCACCAGCAAATCCGGCTTTGCACATACCGGATCCATTATCTACCACTAATGCTGCTACTTCCTCATCGCACATTGTTTATAGCTTTTGAAACTTGAAAATTGGTTAACCTACAAACTTTCCCTAATTTTTCTCACTAGAGCTGGAAATTGTATAGAAAAGCTATGGTAATGAAACTTAGTTTATTTGAAATGTTTCATTTTCTATCATTCCTAAACTTCATTTATTTAAGAATAAATTAATTTTAGATTAGTCTTTTATACTTAGAAGCATCACAAACAAAGTGAAGATAGCAACAGAAAATGTAACATAATAAGCATCAAGGTAAGATAGTCGTCTATCGGTGAACTGAGATATATCTACGACTTATATAATGCCACCAAGCGCTTGCTTCTAGCCAAGCAACTTTTTCAGCGATTGTTGAGGGGGAGGGATCGAATGAGTCCTTTTCTTGAGAATTCGAGAGTAAGTGCTACTGGGAAGAGAGAGGAATTCGCGTGAAAAGCTTAACCAACTAATACACCCACCTATCTCTTCTTATCATTCATTTAGATAGCAGTAGACTGATGGATGGATAGAGATAAATGATAAAAGAAAGGTATGAATTGATAGAGGAATGATTAGATAGATAGATTGATAAAACAATAGACAAGTAAAAAGATACCCAGGCAGTTAAATATTGCTACAAAGAAAAATAATTTTGCTTGTGCAGAAGAAATGAAAAAGAATGATGGAATTGTTTAAGGATTATAAACAATAACAATGAGATATAGATTGGAAGATAACAACAGTGACAGCAATAGCAACAAACAAACCATACAACAATAATAATAATAACGACAATAACAACTGTCTCTGTGCTTTTCAACAATCTTAATTCTGTTCTATAGTTAGATTAAAAAACTTCTTCACTTTTTAAATTTAAACTGTAATAGCAAAAATAAAATGAAAAAAAAAAAAATTTTTTTTGAATTAGTAAATGCAGAGTTGTTATTTTTATGATATTGTCTAGTTTTTGTTGAAATTAGTAATTTTATCAAAATATTTCTTGACAAAACATTTAAAAATTATTCTAACTTTTAAAATTTACCATTCGCTTTCAAAATTCTTATTATCTTGATTTTGATTTCATCAATAATGTCGTAAAAAACGATCCATTTAAATTGCATTCAAATTCTAATACCTTTGGTAATTGTCCTGTCATTGTCCAAATAATTTCGCATTTGTAGCTAATCTATGTGTAGATTATTTAAGCCATTATGCTAATTCCTTTTTCTCACACAACAAAAACCCTTTGTTAGCAATCTTTGTTTCACATCAGTTAAATGTCCTCTGCCGGATATCTGATCAGTTCAGTTCTAAACAACCGTCCTCCATCACAGTTATTCATTCTACATTTTGAGGTAGTTTTTGATATCATTTTATTATACTTTCCGTTACGCATTGTTATAATATTGATTTGTTGGTTTAACTACCCAAGTTTGAGGCAAAATAAAATATCTGGCAGTCAATATATTCCACAACAAACAAATATTGATCTTGTTGTTTTATTATTTGATCTTGTAATGCTATGTGATGTATAACTTAAATTTTTTATTTTTGAGCCAAAAAAAAAAGCTAGAATTGTTAAGGACATTAGGACCGATAATGTAAAGAAATGATAGCTAAAGATAAAAGATAAAATAAATGAAGCATTCTTAATAATATGTCACAATTATTTTTTAAATGAAATAAAAATTGCATACAATTTAAAATTGTCGTGAAAGGTTGTCTGTGTAATAAACCAAAAAAACTAGATTTAAAGAGAGATAATTTAAGATACTTTAAGATTGTTTTACAATGTCTGAAGAGTCGGAAGTGTCTAAAATAAATTGAGAATTTACAATGTGAGAACTGAACGTATCAATGATGAAAATCACATGTGAAAAATCTTAAGAAATTCGATTTATGTAGAGATAATTTATGATATTATGGGATTATTTTTAGATAGGAGTTTTTGCGATGTTATAATTCGCGACACTCTCAAAAGGGGGAGAGGAAGATGTAACTTTGAGAGAGTGATTTTGAGGTATATAGTTAAATGTATGGACTTTAATGGGTGGGATTTCTTTAGTTTGGAATTGTGTGTGTGCTAATTCTGTAAGGAGAGTAATGATGGTAGCTTGATTTGGACTTCGTTTTGAAGTATGACAAAAGAGGGATTGAACTAATCTAAATTTCCACTTCAGAATGACAAAAATAGTTAATATTGTTGCAATAATTATACAGGTAAAATCAATTTCCAGTGTGTTATCATATTTTCAAATTCATCTTCTATCGGTAGAACAATTTCGTTGAATTTCCTTTCCATTTGTTCGATAATTTCTTCTCCTTCTTCAGAAATTTCTTGCCAGAAGAATTCATCTTTCATTTGATGTGGTATTGAATTGATTGTTTTTTGGTTTTGAGTTAAGATTTCTAATTCTGCATTGATTCTTTCAATTTCAAACTAACTTATCAATTCTCCTTTGAATACGATGTTTTCGATTGTCGGTCGTTCTGATTTGCAAGGAGCCACCATCAAATTTCGTTAATTCTTTTAGCTATCACATCGTTTCTTTGAAGTATTAGTTTCGTGGCAAGGGTAGGATTGCAGGATCGAACCTTTTATTAGGAGACTTTTCATCATCAATAGTTTATTTGTTACTCTTCGTTTGAATGTTGTAGTAAAGTTCGAGTCATCTTCAACATCTACTTCAATAACTATATCGCCTTGCATTAAAAGTGGAGAGGTGAATCTACAATTTTTGGTGTTTAATACAGGGGGGTTTTCATTAATTATAAGCGATGCCTGAAGTGGTTGTTATATTTTGCAGCTTTGAATCTTCCGGTCCTTCGATACAAACAATGATTGGTTGTATCATTGCTATTCCATATGATAATGCTTGTATTTGTTATACGTTCACCTTCATCTAGATATAGATTCCATTTTTCCTTTTCTTCCTCCGTTAGCATTTGTGATTGGGCCTGTCTGATCAGCATAGTCTCTGCTATATCGTAATCAACTTTAGTCATATAATTCTTTTTTACGGATAATGGTTCTAGCCACACTAATTTCTTTTTGCAGGTTTGTTTAATAAATCTAAAAGTCCAAACAGTTACTCGAACTAGTTTTGTCCAACTGCTGAAGCGACATACGTCAATAAATTCAATTATATTCCTTTTAAAGGTTTGAGTCATCTTTGTTAAATTCAAAGCAATTGCTTCTGCAAATTCATCGTTTCCTGAATAGCGAAGTTTGCACTTTGGCCATTCAGATTTCTTGAGTTCCAACCATCGAGGTCCTTTCCACCATTGTTTACAATTTTGGAGTTTAAGTGGTGATACTCCTTTGGTGGCTATATCTGCTGGATTTTGATCACTTGGTATGTAATTTAATTCGAAGTTAGATTTCCTTATTTCTTCTATGCGATTTTGTACAAATCTGGGAAGCAGCTTTGTATAATTCTAGATCCATCAAAAAACACATTTTGAATCTTTAATTGGAGCAATTCGAGATTTAGCATAAATCAAGAATGAATTCGAATATGTGTTTTGATATCCATGATTGAGAACATGAATAGCTGCAGAATAGGCAACTTTCGAAGCGTCAGTAAATATATGGAATTCTGTTAATTGTGAAGTTTCCGTTATAAATCTTGGTGAGAATTTACCATTCTTTGATGAGATTTATCCACTGCTGTTCGTCCTGTTTGTTTAAAGATTGATCCCATGGAATGTTTTCTTTCCATAAGTGTTGTATGAATAATTTAAGTTTGATCATTATAGGAACGAGAAGACCCAATGGATCGTATTGGGAGGCTATGAATTGTAGGATAGTCCTCTTTGTTAAACTTTTTCCTATCCATGGTTTCAGTGTCACACGGATGATATCTCGTTCATGATTCCATTTAAGACCATGAAAATTTTCCTGGTTTGTTTGGCTTAGGTCACATTCAGGTATTCTTTCATTAAATTCTTCGTCATTTGAAAGGAATTCTCTTATGTTCATCGATGCTTCACCAAAAAATTTCTTTCGTTCTTTTATATTTATATAAGGCCTCTTCTGTTCCATTAGCTGATATAATAACGTTGTCTACGTATAAGTTCTTTCTTATCTCCCATGCCAGTTCACTACCATGATTTTCTAGGTGGTAATTTAATGTTGCTGCTAATAAGAAGGGTGAGGATATTATTCCAAAAGGAACTCTCTTAAATCGGTAACGTTTTATATTTTCATTGGTTAGTTCTTTATCAATATAATCCAACCAAAGAAAACGTGTACAATTTCTTTCCTCATTTTGTAGTTCTAGTTGTAAAAATGCCTTTTCGATATCAGCGGTTATTACTATTTTCATCATCCGAAACGTAATATTACTCCAACTAAATCCGGTAACATTACTGGATCTCGATATAGTACTTCATTTAAGCTTTTAAAACCTTTGTGATGTGCTGAGGCATCATATACTATTCTTAATTTAGTTGTTGATTTACTAGGAGTTAATACTTCATGATGTGGTAAGTAATGAATAACGCCTACCTCATCCTTTTGGAGGTACTTCTTCAATTATACCTGAGTGTAGTTGATCCATAAAGTATTTGATGATATGAATGGAGATTTGAATTATGTTGTAGGCGGTTGATCAAATTCTTCAATCGTCCCAGACATAATCCATAATTATTGCTTATTTTTGTGGAGTCTTTCCATGGCCAACAAACTGATATCTTCCACACCCTGCTTGGATGATGGTCCGTTTGAAATGCTTTAAAGCTTGATCCATCATCATCATCTTGAGGTGATTCTTGGATACCAATCGTCTCTAATTTCCAAAATTTTTCTAGCTCCGTGCTAATATTGACGTTTGTAGAATATACTACTTCTTTAGGATATAATTCGTTCTTGCAGAGTTTCTTAATATCTCCACTTCCAGCAATCATTGGACCAACTTTTGATTGAACCAACATATGTCCTGATTTCAATTCCCTAATTTCTCGTAGGTTAATAAATTTGAAAAAATAGTCAGCTCCAATCAATACGTCAGGTTTTTTCCAATAATTTGTCAAATTTTGAATTTGAAATTCATTCGATGTCTCCACTACCTGCAGTTCGTTTGTTAGATAATCAATTATATTTGCTTGTAGTTGTATGATTTCGCTTTCGGTAGTTAGCACATTTAGTTGTATGCGAGCAGTGGGACATGATTTCGGTTCTTTCATACCAAATGGAGCTATTCTCATAATTTGAGTTTCTGTTTCGGTTAACTTTAATTGACGTGATAATTTTTTGGAGATGAAGGAGAGTTGCGATCCAATATCAAATAATGCAAGGGTATTTTGTTGTAGTTGAGGTTGTGATGGATTAAAAACCTTTATCTCCTTACATAAAAGTAAGGTTTCCTTTGTCTGTTTGGATCGAGTTGTTAATGTGGAGTTATAGAGAGAAGTTGAACAATCCTTTCGTTTCGAAGGTCCAATTCTTTCATGCTCTTCATTTCTTTGAGACATTGTATTGTTTAAAGAAAGTGAATTCCTTTTATTACATAAAGCACTATTATGTGAGCTTTTGCAATAAAAACATTGTTTTTTGACATTACAATTCTGTCCTTTGTGACTGTCTCTAAGACAAATAGTACATTTCTTCAACACTTTGAGACGACTAAGCCGAGCATTGAGAGTTGTGTAGTTCACGCAATCGCTGTCCCAATGATCTTGATTGCAAAATACACATGGTCGTCTTTTCGTTGTTGTAATTTTCGAAGTATTTTGATTATCTTTTATTGTCGACAATGCTGAAGTTCCTCCGGGATTGTATCGTTGTTTTTGTTCCGGTTTGGTAGTTGTAGATTTAATATTGAGTTGAGTGAGTGAATGTTGACAGTTTCTAATCTGTTCATTCACATTAACTAAACTTGTTAAAAAAAGTTTCTTAGTTTGAGAATTGACCAAGGCATGTCCTTCTTCTTGTGTTTATATATTTTATTTAATATCCATAATGGCAACTTGCTCTCGATCAAGATTTCAATATTTGAATGTTCGAGGCTTTCTCCTAGAGCTTCTAACTGGCGCAGTACTCGTTCTATATTTTCAATTGTTCCAATCCATTCTCTTTCATTTCGTTTAATTGATTGGAGTTCGTTGTAGAGTAATGTTGTTACTATTGAGTGATCGCCATATTTTTCATTGAGCAGTTTTCTGATGACTTCATAATTCTCTGGAGCTATATCATATCCAGATATTGCTTGTAGAGCCTTTCCTTTAAGACATGAGTACAAGTAATTCAATTTTTGTATTTCTGGAATCGCTTGTGTGTGGACTGCTGCGTTAAAACTGCTCCAAAATTGTCGCCATTGTCTAGGGTTCTCCATCGAAAGTAGGGAGCGATAAATGAGGAAGATTTACATTAATATTTGAAGAAGGAGTAAATTTTGCCTCTTCTTTTGTTTGTTTGTTCGTCAACTCCTTTGAGAGTCGCATTAAGTTTTGGTCGGCTTCATCTTTGTGCATTGTTAGTGTTATTACCGTTTCCTTTCCTTCGTGCTCTAATTGAAATATTCCTTGGTCGCCTTCTGTTACTGCTTTGTATTTTTCTTTTTTTCATTGTGACGATTTGTTGAGTATATGTGAACCATTTATCGTTGATAGATTCAAGCGTAGTTACGCATAATTAGATTCTTCGATGTTTATCTTCTAACACTCTTTTTCCTATTACATAAAAATCTTTTTTTTTTCTATTGTCATATTTGGTTCTGGAGAATTGATTTCCAGTTGATTTATTTCTTTAAGAAGATTGACTAACCTTTCCTTTGCCGGTTGATGGCTTGCAATAATATGGCTTGACATGTTCCCGGCTCGTGGCACCAATAAATTTTGTCGTGAAAGGTTGTCTGGTTGATACTCGAATAGTTACAATACAGTAGGAAAATTAATAAACCTTTATTTTTCGCAAACGTAGTATTAATAAACAGAGCAATAAAATTAAGAGAGAAGAAATTTATATTAAAGAAGAAGATCGGAGAAATTGATATTGGTTAACAGAGTAGTAGTCGTCCTTAAAGACAATAATAATTGTAGTTTTTTAGGATTGAATTTTATATGAGTGGTAATTGGGCGTGTCTAAGATAAAAATGTGAAGAATCGGAAATGTTCATGAGAATTGAAAATTTATGATATGAGATTACATGTGTAATAAACCAAAAAAACTAGATTTAAAGAGAGATAATTTAAGATACTGTAAGATTGTTTTACAATGTCTGAAGAGTCGGAAGTGTCTAAAATAAATTGAGAATTTACAATGTGAGAACTGAACGTATCAATGATGAAAATCACATGTGAAAAATCTTAAGAAATTCGATTTATGTAGAGATAATTTATGATATTATGGGATTATTTTTAGATAGGAGTTTTCGCGATGTTATAATTCGCGACAAAAATATAATTTGGCACAATATCATCTTAATATTCATTCAGCCATTTTCATATCCGAAAAATCTCCTAATTACACTTTTGTTATTTGCATATCTTTTACTAATTTATACTTCTGAATTCTATACTTCTGAAATTTTTACTTCTGAATTTATATACTAATTTATACTTCTGAAAAAATAAATTTCTTTTCTTGGTGATGTGAAAGCATTTAATGACTTTAAATTATTACAAACAATATGCCATACTCCAATATTAGTCAATTAGGTTTTTTTTTTTCTTTCTGATTTCTATTCATTAATAAGAAATTAAAATTTTAAGTTTTTACCTCATTAGGAATCTGAAGTCGATGAGTTGAAGAAAAATTGAAAAATCTTTTTCAATAATTCAAAGTTGTATCTTTTGTAGAGATAACATAATAAAAGTTTTCATCGAAAATCAAGCAAAAATTGTTTTTCAGCATTTGCGCGGAATTTAAAATAAATGAAATACACAATTTGAAAATATTGCACAAGCAATTAAAAATTAATTCTATCATGTCCTTAATTTTCGTCATCTGTTTTAAAATATCATTTTGATTGTCCACTCTTGCAAACCAGTCTTATGTTAAAATATTTTCTCAAGGATCAACTCAGATTTTCTCTCAAAAACTTTTTCTATGATTCCTATATATTAATCATTAATTATATGACAACATTAAAACTTTAGTGATTCTAATAAAATTTTTCTATTAAAACTATAAGAATTTTCTTTTTTCTTCTTCTCCATATTAAAACAAAATATTTAATATTTCTTGTAATTCCTCAAATAATTGATTTATAAAATCTTTATAGTAATTACCAATCACAATTATTTTTCAAAATCTTAAGTTTTAGAAGCATCACGATTGTTGTAGACTACTCTGTAGCATTAGTTTGTAAAAGTTTTAATTAATGATTGTACTAATGAAATTGAATTTGCAGCATTCCAGGAAAATGATAAGATGAATGAAAATATAAATTCTTCAAATAATCGCTTCTTGAAAAGTTTTTGCTGATAAGTATTACCCTATTATACTTTCCTCTCTCCAATTTCATCTTTGGTTGCCTTGTTATCCATCGAAAATTCAATACTTTTAATACAGTGAACTGCGCGTTAGACATTAATGATTTATTGAAGAATTAAGAAGATTAAATGTTGACATGTTGTTATCTTTCTTCGTAATTTATTCAAAAATATTAGACATTTCGGAATTCTTTTTCCATACGAATAGTTTATCTTTTTTCTCCTCTTTTTTCAAAAAAAGAAATCCCTAAAATTTTTATTGAAAAGATCCCTAAAATTTTGATTGAAAAGCAAGTTTTCACATTTCTATCAAAATTTTGCTGGTTTCTTAAATAGTTTGTTTTTCAATAGTTCATTCAAAAAATCTTTTCCATCAGCTTATCATCAGTTGCTGTTGCAAGCAAGATGATTTGAAGAGAGTTATTGAGGATTTAAATCATAAATTACGATGGAAAATTAAATAGTTTTTATACAGAGATACTTTTAATATTTCATCGATTTCAGTATTATGATTTAAAAAAGAATTTCGAGCAATTTTTTCTAGACAGTTTTGAAATGTAAATTTTAATTTGTGTGCGACTTAGAAAAACATAAAAAGAAATGAATAGTCATTCGACTATAAAGATAAAAGCTAATATTCTTCTCATACATATTCAATGCTAATATTCAAAAACGACAACAATTGCCATTTTACAACGAATATTATTAGTATTATTTGAGAGAATGTACTGAAAATGAGTGAATGATACTAGCTTTAGTCTTATTTTATAGAATCTGTTTCTGTCCATAAAATCTGTTGTAATTTGTGCTGAAATACCATACAAATAAATTAATTACCCATTAGAGAAGGTTTTTCTGCTATCTAGCTGGTCAAATGTTTATCTAGAGAAGTTAAGATAACAAATCATATGCCTCTATCTTTTTGGCAAAGATGTCTAGAAATTACCCCATCAGTACACTTTGGAATTTCTGATTACGAAAAGAGGATGAAAAATCTGAAAAGAAATATTCCTTCTTTAATAAGAAATATCGTAACATAATCTTACAAAAAATTATAGTTGATAACTTTCGTAAACTTTATTTGAAGGAAACGAGTCATTTCATCGACTATCACAAAGCAAAAGTCCGCAGTGGACAGTGATTATTATACAGGATGGGAAATATGAATGACTACGCATAATAAATAATCTTTATTTCAAATGCTAAAAAAAAGCCACAAAAACCTTTACTAAAGTTTTTTTTTTTTGTATTATCAAATAAGCCAAGAAATTGATTTATTTCAACAAGAAGAAGTTGTTTAACGACCAGAAACAGCACATATACTCAGTTCATATGCGAGCTATTGCAAATTTTTGGTAGTAAAAGAAATGAAGTAGGGAGTAGAAACTGATATTACAGCTTAAAAACATATTCTGCGCAAGGTTAAAATGCGAACACGTCGCCCAGCTAGCGTGAACGCAGAATATACGCAACTCATCACATTGAGTTGCTCCCTTGCGAACAAATTTTTGATTATAGTTTTTTAGAAGCATTTACGATGCACAATTGATGGGCCAGATTCATCATATTCTTGCTTCGAGATCCACATCTGCAAATTTATTTAAAATTAATTCACTGATAGTGATTATATATATATATATATATGGTGATTATATATATATATATGGTAGTGATTATATATATATATATATATGTATATATATATATGGTAGTGATTATATATATATATATATATATATATATATATATATATATATAATCACTACCAATTATTCTCATTTGATAGTACTTTTATTAGCTGAAGCATTAACCTTCTTTCTTTTATTTTTACATTGATTCGAATTTATTCCTAATTTATTACTAAAAAAAGAAAGTGCTAAGAATTAGATGTACCTGTTGGAAGGTGGACAGAGAAGCCAAGATAGAACCACCAATCCATACGGAATATTTGCGTTCTGGTGGTGCAATAATTTTAATTTTCATTGTGCTTGGCGCCAGAGCTGTGATTTCTTTCTGAAAATTTGCACGAATATTTTTGCTTTTAATATTTTATTAGAAAATAAACAATTTTTTAAGTAAAATAAAAAACTTCCACATTCGCATTCGAACGTTAAGGCATACAATATTTTGATTCAACCATTATCTCAAAAACCAAAGTTTTTTTAGCTAATGGAAATACTAACCTGCATCCTATCTGCAATACCTGGGTACATTGTCGAACCACCAGATAAAACGTTGTTTGCGTAGAGATCCTTTCGAATATCAATATCACACTTCATAATACTGTTGTATGTTGATTCATGAATACCAGCAGATTCCATACCCAGGAAAGATGGCTAAAAGAATTTCATTTAGTAAAGAAACACTTAATATTAACTTTCCCCACAAAAAGGTCCAGCTAACCTGAAATAGAGCTTCTGGGCATCGGAATCTTTCGTTGCCAACGGTAATCACTTGACCATCAGGCAATTCATAAGATTTCTCGAGAGATGATGACGATGCAGCAGTTGCCATTTCCTGTTCGAAATCTAAGGCCACGTAGCATAGCTTCTCTTTAATGTCACGCACAATTTCTCGTTCAGCCGTGGTCGTAAACGAGTAACCACGTTCAGTGAGGATCTTCATTAAATAATCTGTCAAGTCCCGTCCAGCGAGGTCCAAACGTAAAATTGCATGTGGCAATGCGTAACCTGAAATAATGAAGATGCAATTAATTTATCCCAAAGTTTGAAAGACTTATCACGAAAATTAAAGTTAATTGATGTAATAAAAAGACATAGTTTGATTCTTCTCATTTAAATGTTCATATTCTGAATCAAATCAGTGATTATTGGAAAGTGTAAAGATTGATTCGATTTAATGGATACCTTCGTAAATTGGTACGGTGTGAGTAACACCA